CCTGGGAATCGAATAAGTAATTGTACAGCTTGAGCGCTGAACATATATGGTTTCCATTCATTTTTGTTAATAATAGTTGGACGATTTGTTCCATTTCAGACCGAGAGTTACCTCAATAGAAACAAAAATGTTAATAGCGACCAATAAAAAAGTTCGTAAAACAAGCACTGCTCATGGTGTTATTCAGTATTAAAACTAGTAAATGCAGCGAAACTCTTGATTTACACCTGACAGAAAAATTTTCTTCAATAGACATGCTGGAAAACCTTCACGGCTCAGATAAAACTCCAACAGTGGAAGTAAAATAAAGTATGGAAAAAACAGAGAATAGAATCGGTTCAACATACTGTAATTATCAGTTGAAGAGTTATCATCCGTCCGTGATGTTAATTGAACAGTTGTAGATAATAGTAGCAGCGAATCGACTGAACATTCATCGATATCCATGCTTTGACGATCTAAGAAAGAAAAACAGAAACTTCTCCCAAGTATAGATACTGGTGGTATGACAAGCTTTTTTATTAACTCGTTTGAATTAATTTCGACGAACAATAGTTTCTCAGTTATTCACATTTTGGAGCGTTGCTTAAAAGTATTGTCATTTATACCATTACAGTTTTTGGCTTCACTCACGTCAGCAACCGATCTTCTCTGTTTTTATTTTGTAGAAGCAATAACAAACACGTTTCAGTCAATTTACTTCTTTTTTGTATTCCAATACTGATATTATATTTATTTTATCCCTGTTTTTTTACTTCTAGTAAAAGAAAAAACTGAATCTAATGAAATATTCTGTACAAACACAAAATAAATAAGCTATAATACAGAGTTCAGTTATAGCAACAATAAAATCGACTGAAATACCGACGATTAATAAGAACTAGTTTAAATACAGTTTCAGTAAAAGATTGAATAAAATTATAATTTACAAATTATGTTTTATGAAAATAGAAGGTAAATCGTAAAAGTAAAAAATAAAAACAAAAACTAATTTTTTCAAAATCGTAACCCCTGACTGCTGTATACGTTTTACGTGTACATTGAAAAACAACAAAAGCATGAGTAGAAAAAGAAGGGTCTATCTCTTTTTTAACACCGTCTTTGCCGCTGCACGTTGTAGTCGATGTGCTGTTAGCTCTTTAACTAAAGCCACTGCCGTTCCGTTTTCGCCGTCATTTTCTGTCAAACCTTCTGTCAATACTGATGATTGCGATTTTCTTAATCGTTTGGATTGATCTAAATTTTTCGATAGTAGAGCACGTTTCTTTTTTCTGTCTTGAGGATAAGTGTCCACGGCTACAAAGAAAGAAATAGTTTTACTAGTGTGAGTGTAGTGAGAACAAGAATCGTAGGCAAGAGAAAGGTAAAACGGCATCCACGTGTGCAAGAAAAAGGAAAAAGCACCTTCATCCGTCAATGACGACGCTAGACGTTGATCTTCTCGTAGTAGCCATTTATCAACAGCAATTGTAAATAAATTAGAATACGGCTTATTGCCAAGAATATCAATAGCTGACTCGGACAGCAATAATCTAGATTTTGTTGCAATATTCATACAAGTTTGCAAATAATCGTCAAGTTTAATCATATATTTGGACAATGGCAAACTAACTTCGGCTTTATCAACTAAACCTGAGCTTTTTGGTATTTGTTTGATGTAGCCGGGTTCAAAACTTAGTTTTCCAGTTGTTTTTGATCGTGATACAAAGCAATTGTCTAATTTGAATAATAATTTTTCATTAATTAATTGATCGATCGCTTTATCTCGTACAATTACATCGCAATGAGTCGAAAGCACGATCAAATCCGACTTGGTCGAAACCACCGATTTATTGCACAATAAAATAGCCGTTTTAACTTTTTTAATTTTTTCTAATGTTTTTCGTTCATCTAACGTGATTATATAAAACGCTGAAAAGGAACAAACACCTTTTTCTTCTCTATTAAATGACTCATTCAGAATATCTCTCTACGATCTTTCAACGTCAGGCATGGAAGAAAACAGTGTACTGTTAGTGCAAGAACTAAACAGTTTTCTTCTCTAAGTATTTTCGGCTTACGTGCTATTTTGCCTTCTTTTCCCACTTGATCGTCCTCGATTCCAGGCTGCTCTTCTTGATCAAGCTGTGCAGCAGGCATTATTGAAACTACATCAGCAGAAATAGATGAGCCACTCGCTCGGTTCGCCGTTTTGTTTTTTCCACTTGAATTCAATGCATCATGCGTTAACTTTGAAATGACTGAAAGAGAATGAAAAGAAAGCGGCTGTCGAAAGAAACGAAAGAACTGTATAAATGAATGTCGTACCAGTTGATGCACTTCCATTAGTCAAATATTCTGGCGTTTTTTCTTGCTGATCATTTGTTTCTACATTGGAATCAATATTTTCTAAAGAGAAAAATATTAGTTATTTTTATTTTACTTTTCTGTCTTTGAACGCGTGTGCCTTTAATTTGTTGATTAATTATCACAAATTGAGTAGTAACACTATTATTATCGTTGCCACTGCTTGCTTCCATTGAAACTGGAAAAAGAAATTACCGGTAGAAGTACGCAGAATGTGGAGAGATACAAACGTAATGTGAGAATACAACTAAAGAGTATAAAAATTTCTCTTTGTCTCAATAATACCTGAATAATTCGATGTATCCAACAAATTTGCCCCCAGTGCTGGTACTTCCATTTGTCTTCGCATTGCTATAAAAAGGAAATCGTAACAAAGATGACCAAGGAAGTGGTTTTGAATGACATCTTTGTACCCTATCCCAGAGACAAGGGATGCATGCTCGAACGGCGATACGGTGCAATGGTTATTCAGTAACGTAACAGATCAATAAATGATATAAATACCCTTTAGCTGCATAGATCGTTTAAAAATTTTTTGTGCTTGATTTAGCGGCTTTCGTTTTATGACACGTTTATTCGAAGACAATGGAAGGACTAAAAGACAGGAAACATGGCAAAAGGACCTCGAACTTTCTGGAAGTGAAGACATACGTGGACTTAGACGTGTGCTTGTTGTAGGAACATTTCGACTCTCAGTGTTATCATTCAAATTATCGTCAGCTCTTGGTAGAACTAGAGAGGAAAAGGATTATCAAAGAATAATAAAAAGTGAGGAAAAAAGCTATGTCGATAACGAACAGTCACCTGTCTGTTTATTGTCAAGATTCGTATTGTAATTAGTTAATTCTGTTGTAGCGAAATTTTGTGAAGTCGCTGTTTTCGTGTTATTTAAGACTTTTGCTATAATAATAAAGAGAAACAGGTTACTTTTGAATATTGTTAAATTCGCGTAAGTATGCACATAAACGCTTTCCCTCAGAGTAAGAGAATGATATTAGACAGAGCTAAACCATCAAACAAAGACGAATGGAGAAACAAAACACAGTAATGCCTGATATCTCGCGAAAATAGATATCACCAAAATACACGAGATATTAGCACTAAAAGGTGAGATTTTAGTGAGTACACCGCAAATTACCAAATTTTTTGTAGATATTTGAATACCACGAGATTTTAGTAAAATACGCGAGATATTAGTACTAAAAGGTTAGATTTTAGTGAGTACACGAGATATTAGCAAATTTTGTATATATTTGAATACCACGAGATTTTAGTAAAACACACGAGATATTAGCAAAGTTTTCTATATAGTTCTGTATCTGCATGTTATTTCACAATGTGATAATTGTATACAAAACTAAATGTGTGAAAGAGAAAGTGGAACATTTTAAGCAAAGTTCGACATTGGGTCTGACTACTCCTTGATCTGTCCTAATATAGTAGCGGCGGGGGCTGGCTCGGGGGTGGCAGTATGAGAGTGAGTAACAAGACTTTCAATTCGGAAATTTCCAAAGAAATGTGGAACTTTACACCACCGGCATATACAAAAATTTGCTAATATCTGGTGTACTCACTAAAATTTCACCTTTTAGTGCTAATATCTCGCGTCTTTCACTAATATCTCGTGTGTTTTAGTAAAATCTCGTGGTATTGAAATATATACCAAAAACCTGCTCATATCTCGTGTACTCACTAAAATCGCACCTTTTAGTGCTAATATCTCGAGTATTTCGCTAATATCTCGTGCATTTTACTAAAATCTCGTGGTTTTCAAATAAATACGAAAATTTGCTAATATCTCGTGTGCTCACTAAAATCTCACCCTTTAGTGCTAATATCTCGTGTCTTTTACTATATATTTCAATACCACGAGATTTAGTAAAATACACGAGATATTAGCGAAAGACGCGCGATATTAGTACTAAAAGGGGAGATTTTAGTGAGTACACGAGATATTAGCAAATTTTGTATATATTTGAATACCACGAGATTTTAGTAAAACACACGAGATATTAGCAAAGTTTTCTATATAGTTCTGTATCTGCATGTTATTTCACA